AATGAAAAACACAAAAGATGTCGTCTCACCTCTTCTTTCTGCTTCCGTATCAGAAAACAGTCCACAAGTCCCCTGCATAAGTGAGGGTTCAGTGTCTCTTTCAGACTCTTGAATAAATCTTTGACTTCTCTTACAGTTGTCTCAGTGTTTTTTAATATCAGCTGTCGGCTTTTTACCCAACTGACCAGCCTGGGAAACATGTTGTAAAGCTGCAACGAAACAGTCAGTTTGGTGCAATCAGTTCTGTATGCTTTTTTTCTGTTTCCACTGTGAAAAGTTGTGGATGGTACCAATGGAACCAACTATTGGGGTACCTAGCACACAGATCTGGTACTAAAAGGTGGAGCTGTGAACACTGCAGTCCATTGATTGGTCAGTAGAGGACGGTCACTCTGCTTAGGGCTGAGTTGTGGCTGGTTTTGAGGCTCGCGTAACCACTGCTCATACCGTGGAGAGTTTTATTAGACTGTAACTATAAAATGAAAGGATGTTTTGCTGCCTCTTGCAGCAGCTGGAGTCTGAGAAGAAATAACTTAATCCACTGGGCAGACTGCCGGAGACTTTTATGGTGGAAAGTCTACTTGTAATGTTACTCAATGCATGAGGTGATGATGTAAATCTATCAACACACCTTAAATTTCAGGATGACAACTAGTTTTCATTGTGTCCCTTGGATGACATACACTTTTAGTAATGTGTGGATTTTCAGTCATTTAGGAATATATATTAATTTAACCAGGTTATGAGAACTGCATGTATTCTAATCCTCACTCAGAGAAAAAAAAGGCATCGCCAAAAGTCTTTCCTGTGGGCTACAGCAACACTAAGCCCCTGCGCTTACCTTAGGACTCACTATTTTTAAATATCCCACGGAGAGAGACTCTCACTGGAGCCTGTTTTATTTGTTCTGTTGGCGTGCAGCCTCGTTCTGTGGGCAGTAAAGTAGGTGCAGACTTCCATGTGTGTCACCAGTAATGAGGAAATACAGTGAGTGCTGGATGGAGCAGTGAGTAACAACAACCCCACCCACATTTAAGAGTACTGTTTACGGTGGAAACTCTAGGGTCTAGGTTCCATGTCTGAAGGGTTACTTTTGGTTCCAAAGGTACCATATTAAAAGTGTCTGGTGGAAACGGGGCTTAACTGGGAGAAGTTTCAACTGGTTACAATCTGCAATCATCACCACTAGATACCACTAAATCCCCCAAAATCTTAGACACTGCTACTTAATTTTATCATAGATAATTTGTCAGTTACTACAGATTGTGTGTAATCTTTAAACAGCAGCAATTTTATACGAAGCCCACCTGGATTTCTGCAGAGCCCACAACACGTATGTTCTCATTGGCTCGCGTCACCATGTTTGTGAATTGAGGATCATCATATTCAAACCTGCTTCCATACACAATATTGCAAATGATATTGGATGTTGCATAATTCACCAGGCGTGCTGTATTAAATGGTTTCCCTGTAAACAGGCAGTGAGAAATAACAAAAGCATTAGGACTAAAGTACACAATGACAAATACAGTTTTGTACTAACAAACAAGTGACGTACGCTGGCTACAAAAATATCGTAAATAATAGACTTCCTTAAAATTTCCTTTTTGTATATCAGAATGTCCTGTCGTGTTGTCACTTAAACACCACATACCTTTATGCTTTTCAAACATTTGGATCAGATGGTGGCATTCCTCCAAGATTTTATGTTCAGCCATTCGTTTGCCCATCCCAAAGTCTCTCAGGGTGGTGAGGGCAAAGCGTCTCATCTCTTTCCATGATTCTCCATTTGCAA